TCTCTCTCTCTCTCTCTCTCTCTCTCTCTCTCTCTCTCTCTCTCTCTCTCTCTCTCTCTCTCTCTCTCTCTCTCTCTCTCTCTCGCTCTCTCTGAACTACCTTTGGGGAGATAAAGGAGTGTTCTCACTTTGCTTCGTCTGTCTAAAGCGGATAAAGGCGACAGCCGGAAAAACCCGACCGATAGGTTGTGTATTTTCGGTCATCACGATTGTCGGATTAACGATGAATGATTGAGACCGACCCTTGCGATTGATTGGATTGCCATTTGGACTGACGGCCTCAACCCGACTGGGCGTCGGCCTCTCATATCCTCGCCACGTCCCTTCCCATACAACGAGAAAAGGACACGTGTATGCGAGTGGGGCGTACGAGAAGCTATCGCCAAGATCGGTGGCCGATACTATTTCCCTCCTGAAACCCGGTGCTCAGGGTTTGTTGCTGTTGGCTTTGTCATTATCGATACACATTTTCTGCCTTATTCGGTGCTATTGCTGTTTAATGAGTTGATCGTCACTCCTTGGACGGCAGTGGCGCCTCATTGGCCTAGCACTTTGTGCAACGATTGTTGTCGCTTCGAGCGTTACCAATCAAAAGGCTTCCACTACCGAGTACGGAGTGAGGACGAACATAAGGACGAGCTATGCGGCTGAGACCGTCCACGTCAGATTCTGAGTTATGCAATCCGAAAGCGAGATACCAAGTGCGTACCCGCTCCCTTTCACGCGAAGCGGAGAGCGACGGCCCGATGGGAAGTTCAACGATACTTTTTGGATTGAACTTCCCCGCGCCGAGCGTCCCGCGCGCGCCTTTTTCTCCTTTGAAACCCGCGCAGTGACGGACCCTCCCCCTTCTTACTAAGTCGGATCGGCACAGGGGATTTCGGTTCTGTCCGTGTCCCCACACTCAATTTTCCAAAAATCCTTGGCACACCCCATCTCGCTGTCCTTCTGGGGCTCCCTTCCGCAATTCAAAACTCCGAACAGAAGACAGCGCAGGGCGTACGGTTGCGCGTCACATCTTGCCCCGTTTTCCATGGCTTCATCCACCCCTCTCTCAATCGCCCCTACTGCTACTCTTTCTACACCTGTCTCCGTCATTGCTGCACTGATATCCCTCTACCAAGCGTGATTGCAATCCGGTTTTACCAGTGGACTACGTATCTAAACTTTCGTCCCTCGTAAGCGCGTGTGGAAGTCAGTGGAGTTTGATTAACCAACTTGACACAAGAGTGTGTTTCGGGTCCTCCCAGGTATTCAGTCGGGCAACCTCCATAGCTACGCATGGAAGCAATGACCTACCTGAAGCGATACGTGACGGCGCGGCGAAACTACTGCAGCGATATCACGTTGGTAGCGCCTGCAGCCGAATACTCCGTCGTTTCCGGACGCGAAGCGCTTGGTCCGAGCGCGCTAGCGGCTCCGTTCGGGTCGGGCCCTCCTGTTGATAATTTATTTTTTGTTATTTTTTTTTTGCTGCCTTCTCCTCATCGGGGGACAGCCATATATTTTTCTCTCACCTGTTGATAAATTTCATCCGCAGCCTAGTGGTGGGAAAAAAAAAAATTCCAGCAGGTGCAGCTCCCCACCAATAGATCGGAGCAATCTAAGGGTGACCCTTCGGACAGGACAGTGCTCATATCACTCCCGGCCGGAAGGGCATCCGCCTGATTTTCGGGAAAAATAAATAAATAAATAAAAATCTGCCGACAAAAAAAAAAAGAAGGAAGCGCCTCATGCTGTGCGACTGCACGATGCCTAAATTTGGACTTGGATGACTGGACGCTGTATTGTCTTTTCTGATTTTTGCTAGATACAGGGGCGAGGTCCCACTAGCAACAAGGACCTGAATCTAGACCTGTTCCCAAAGAGGTGCAGAAATTCGAGATTGGACTGCTTTTCTGCATCGCTGATTACACCACGTCCAGATTCAGGAGCTCAATCCAATCCTTTTTGCTAATGGGACCTCACTCCAGGAGAGCTGTGTGACGAGGCGGTGCCCACCCCAAAATTTGCGATTTTACGTGCTAAGCAGCTCATGTGAGCTAGGCCGCTTGCTCGAACATCTTCCCTTTCTTTTTTTTTTTTACCTTCTTACCCTTTTTTATACCTTTTTTTATTTTTTCTATCCCGCTTCTTACCCTCTTGCTGCCAGTTGGTGCCAACCGAAGCACACAGACACACACACACACACACAAAAGAAAAAGAATGAAAAAAGAAAGGGCTGGGCTTCCCCTGGGCATGCTTGGCGCCCGCCACCTAGAGATAGCCCGTTGGTCCCCCCAATTGGCATTAAAAAGCAGTCTCTGCTGATGTTCATAGGGGGAGGGGTAATAGGGGAGGCACAGCGACTGGCCACTCAGATGATGCTCGGTCCCTCTGTCCCCCATTGGGTGTTCCCTGAAGGCAATCAAGGCCACCCTGGGCTGAAAAGGCCACCCGATGTCAGATTAGACACAATATTGAATTTACCTGGGCCGGTTAGTCCGATGATAACACCTCAAGGCCATCGCCCTTTCAAAAAAAAAAAAAAAAAAAAAAAACTTTTTTTTCAGGAAAAAAAAGAAAAAAGAAAAGGAAAATTGACCAATGGGCCTCAGCTCAGTCAGTACACCCTTGAACGACTTGCGGACCTTTTTTTTTTTTTTTTGCGGACCTTAGTTCGAATCCAGCAAAGAAGGAATACAAAACATAAACGCCCCAGAAAAGAAGGAAAAAAAAAGAAAAAAAACATAAACGTGCAAGTTTGACCGACGTAGGGTCTACTGACGGTGCTGTTTTGCGAGCGTCCTTTCTTTTCTTTTTTTCTTTTTTTTTTTTGCGGTCGTCCTTTCCTACAACAGCACAGTGACTCTGGAGTGCTATACAGGAAAGGCCTGATATCCTCGGTCCTCGGTAGTGACATCAGGTGGTGTCGGGGACTTGGAGACAAATGTTGAGTTCCGTGATGCTGCCACTTGGCAAGCTGCAAAACGCATTGAATTTACTTCCCCTGGTGCTGTCCTCTTGGTCGAGGGTGGAATCAAGGCCTACTCATTTGCG